GATTTAATACATTTCCTTGGGCTCGGAAGAAACTCCTGCCTGCTGGAGCTGGCTCGGGCGCCCGACAGACAAGGTAAATGGAGAAGGCTTAGGGAGCAGCGGCAGAAAAATCCTTCCTCTGGTGAAGGGGGTGGGGAAAAAGGAAGGAGTTCACGCTTCATTTCGATATCCTGTTTTTGGCCTTTATTTTTCTGTGTTTTCCGCCCTGCACAGTCTATCTGTCCTTTGTGTTTCTCACCCTCTCGCCGAAACGCTGTTTGTTATGAACGTAGTGGCTGGTTTCATGGAGGCTGAGGAAGGAGCCTGGGGAGAGCGAAAGTTTTTAAGCTCCTCGGAGACAGAAGTTTCTTTGTTCGGTCGGAGAAGGTATTGAACTGAAACACTGACTCCGTGACTGCGCTTGCTTCAGCCCCTTCCCTTCCAAAACGCTTGCTAACCCTGCGAGTCTAATTAACTTCTCGGGAAATAAGTAAGTCCTAGAGGAGGTAGTATCTTTTATTTAATGGAAAGATCTTGAGGCTTGGCGATGCCTGTGTCTGCCACTTCTTGTTTGTCTTCCACCTTGTTTTCTGGATTACCAGTTAGCGTCTGGCCGATCTTATTCAAGAGAGCTTTAAATTTTGTTATAAAAATGTGCTCTGGTAGTCCTCTGTAAATGTTGTCGCAGTTTTTCCCCTCGACTGCTGCCGCCACCTCTCTTCCTTCCCTTCCGCCCCATCTCCGTCCTCAAGATGACGAGTTGGACCGCATATTTTTCAGCTTGTATAGGAGAGGTCTGTATTGCATTTTGCTCCTTGCACAACTTTATCTTAAGAACCTCCATTTAAAGAAAAAAAAAAAAGCTAGCTAGTGGTCTGACTTCTTAAAAGTGCAGTTGAACCTCTGAGTTAACGTAGCCTTGTTTGGTTTTGGTTACCACTTTCTCCTTTATCATTTTTGAAAGGCATCCCACTTGAAGCTGTTAGAGGGGAAAAGAAATGCGAAGTTTTGGTGTAAGGTTTTGTACTGCTGGTGCTTGTGAAGTTACACCAGCTAACTAGTTGTATGTAGTGAAAGCGATACTGCTCACCACAGATCCATTTCGCATGCCTCAGAGAGGCAATTATTGGTTAGTTCTTTTGTGAAGGCAAGGAATTTCTCGTATTGCGAATGTTCAAAATGAGCTAGAAGCCGTAGCTCCGTGTGAGCTTATTTAAATTTTTGTTCCTGTTTGTCAAACTCAAAAGCAGTGTGTTGGTCAGAGAGGATGTGTGTGCTTCAGCCCCTCAAGTGTCTGAAATGTGTTGGTGTTTGTGAGGCTTGGACAAAGTAATTTCTGTGCGAAACTTTCAATGCTCCTACATAATGTAATTCTTTAACAGCATCAAGTAATGTAGCATTTGAAGAGAAAGTCAGTAATCCAACTGTCTGATATACTCTGTCTGATATACTGTGAGGGGGAAAAATGTTAACATTTAACTGACCTATAGTGGCTTTTGTGGCTGAAAACAAGTAAATGATTTGGCTTGAAATTTATAGACTTACCTTTCCAGGCAGCAGTAAGGGTTATTCTTGGGCGTCAGAAAGGTCTGAACAAAATAAATGGCAGTGAACTTTGGTTTCCTTATATGGCTGATGCTTGGCAGAGAAGCAATGAAGTCTAAGTAGAGTAATCCTTTTACAAAGAATGATCACTTTCCAAAGCAGTGTTTCAGTCCCAATAATGACTTGAGATTCTGGAGGGGGCGGGGTGGGGGGGATTGGGGGTGGAGTGGGGAATTGTAGCAATGCATGACAAATTTAGTTGTAAACCACTGTGTTCGTAATGGATGCAATTTTGTTTCTTTTCAGACCTTTTGTGTTTCTCATGATGCACTTGATATTTTTCAAAGCCATGTAGAAGAATAGATCCTTGTAGTGGAGCCACAACTTTTTACGCTAGTGTTTTGTCACCATGGTAGCTATGGATAAGGCCTTTTTTAATGATGAAAGTGCAATTCAGTACTGCTTACAGCTAATGATTATATCATAGAATGCCATTCATGTCATTAACATAGTTTAGGAGTTATGAAGGAGTGTATTCTTTCTCGAGATCAACCATCTTGACTAAAAATCACTCTGACATTGATAATCATGTTACGAATAAAATGATTTAAGTGTACACATGGTAGCTTATGTTGCTTGAAGCAATGCTTCCATAGGTATGTGTCGATGGCTTCAGGAAACATTCTTTTGACCTGGCTGTTTCTTGCTCATGAATTAAATTAAGCTCAAGTAAACATCGGTAATTTGAAATAGGTATGCTTGCAAGCAAAGAGCTGGAAGTTACAGCATATGGCAGACTATGGGATGTGATTGTCATTAGGATGATTATGAGATAAGTTAAAATAGAATTGTCTTATTCATAAAGCTGCCCAGTAAAAAATGTTTGGTATAAAAGTAGTGCTCTATAGGGTATCCATTTGCACGTCACATTATGGCAAGAATTGATGAGGGGGCTCTGTGGAGAAAGTATTATTGATTGAAAGTTGCATAGTATATTAAGCTGGTGGTGTAAGAAAACAGTGTTAAGATTTGTCCTCAGTGGAGTTCGTTCAGAGTCTGTAGTCCCAGGCATAAAAGAGGCATGCTTGGAACATCAAAGCTAAGGAGAGGCTTGCACATATGTAACGTGTTATACGTAGCATGTTACCAGTAGGTTCTAGAAATAGAAGGGGATGGGAACAAATTCCTCAACTCAGCTTTCCTGTAGGGGTGCAATGAATCACTGGCTGTCTGCTTTGTTGTTTTGTTTTTGTCCTTCCTGCTCCTGAGCAAAAAGGAAAATCTTCTAGGGAAAATGTTATGTGAAGATCAAATGGTTGATATGACATCTCTTCAGCAGATTCTGCCTATGGAATAACCCGATTTGTGAAAGGAGGGTCTGACACTTACTCCATGTAGAGGAATTATAAATCTAACCTTTTCCAAACGAGTAACTAGTTGAGTTGATGGAAAAGCTACTGTTAAGGATATGAAAATAGTAGACTGTATTCCTGTGTGAGCATGCAAATGTCAATGGTGACAGTTGATACAGGTAGCCAAATGTGAATTATTTGGAAAATGAAGATTTAGAAACGTTGCTATTTTACCTTGTCAACTTTCAAGTAGGTAAAACAATATGTCAGACAACACTTTTCATGTCAAAATGAAAACTCTGAAGGTAACATGTTTATCAGTTTGTGTGGTAAATAGTCTGTAGATAACTCCATTTAGACAGTGCAGTGTTTGTGGTAACCTGTTACATTGCTGGCTTAGTGTCTTTGGAACAACTGTGAAGTCCAGTGCACACTTGAGAGGTATAGGTTATGTCTTCTACACCTTCTAAAAGTTGAACTGATTATTGGGGTTCTGCTTAATGTTTTGAATTCATAGGGAATATCTTTTTGCTACTGTTGTGGGTAACCTGTGAACAGTTCTGTGGGTATTCGCACGGCATACTCTGGTCCAGTTCTGGACAAGAAGTATGTTTTCGGTGGGGTGGGGCCTTGTCAAAACTTGAAATGTGGATTTCCCACAGTCCTTATAGTTCTCTTGGGGAGCAGCTGCAGCGTGCCACTGCAGTTTCCAGCTGTGACGGTGGCATGTGTAGCCCCACTGTATCAGCACAGCTGGCACGCTGTCTCCTGCCGATTAATTGTCAGTAAAAATTACTGGGCCTCAATAATGCTGCCTTCAGTAACAATTAATTGTTAAGGGATTCTATTGAGTTTAAGATTATAAGGGGACAGGTGATATATGAACTTGACTGCTCGAATGACAAGATGGGTGTGGGATTTTTTGCAGATTTTTTTTTGTTGTAAAAAGATTACTTTATTGAAATACAGCCTTCAGTTCTCATTAAGAATATAGTGCTCACGTGAGTAAAACCTTATAAATACTAAGGTTTGGAAGTAAGGACGCTGATTTAGGAGGTATTTATAAATCTTATCATCTGCCTAAGAAAAATTGAAGAAGTGAGTATTGTTATGCTGGCATTGGTAGTATTTTTATTATGAGTAATCATGGGATAATTCTGCTTTTTCTGCTGCTCTGCCTCATTAGTTACCAGTTCTTTTTAAAAGACTTGTTTCTCTGATGCTTACATTTCAATATGGGTATTTGGCTTACTACTATGTTCAGTTTCACCTGTACTTCCCCTGAAGGTGATACAGAGCATGGCGTTTGAACACTACATTGCACCTTCCACCTTTAAAAATACATTGTGACTTTGCATGATTGAGAAATAAAGCTAAACAAACCTCTTGGTCTAAATGAAACCAAACCCCAGTGTACTTGTGTTGGAGAACATCAGCATTGTGACTAGCTTCCCTAGGGTAGTTCAAGTTGAAAAGTAGATTCATTCTTTCTGTATCTGGAACTAATTTGTAGATACTTGATACTAAGTGATCATTATACACACAGGAACAAAAAGTGATGTTTAAGCAGAGTCTGAGAACAATGTGAACGATCTTGGCTGTTCTGGAACTTGTAATAATGTCAGAAGGTAACCAAGCCTCTGGAGCTTCTTGCATTTGAAGGCTCAATCTTGTTAGATAAGATAGTATGTACCCTCCTCTCCTCTTTATCCACTTCAGTAGATAATGAATGGGTTGGCCATACTCTTCAATCCTATTTTTTGGCATGGCCAAGAAAATGTTAGGTATCGAGTCTTGTAGACAACTTGGATTAAGGAAAGCAGAGGAATAATTTGTGCCTTCCTCTGTTCTATATCCATCCAATGATTAGGCGCAGGCTAAACCCTAAAGATTACTTATGATAGTAAGGACAACTTCTGTCCCTGCAAGAGCAAAGCTACCAGAAAGAAGGTAGGTGATTTTAAAATGCACAAGTTTTTTTGTAGTGTCTCAATTTTTAAATACCCAGTATATATTCTTGCATCTTTTGTAAATAGAACTATGGTTTCTCAAACTTTCACGCTTTTGTGTAATTGACTTCTGCAAGCATAAGGCTGTATTATATATGCAAAGTAAGACAACTGCTAAAAGCAAACATTCTTTAAGATTGCTTTATTTAAGTATATTTTGTGAGAATAATAACTGGAAGAAACCATAG